TTGATTACGGCCGACTACGGGTACGCGTTCCAAAACAAACGTATGTAAGTGGAAAAAAAGGGTGAGGATACGTTCGGACCCTGGATACTAATTTAAAGCGTAATCGAAAACGGACGAGAACTAATTTTCCTGGTAAATATAAGAAAAAAATGTGAACGGGTCCGAGGATGAAGAGGATTTTTGTCTTCTCTTAATTACCATCCGTCCTTCGGTCCAAGGCTCAACCGTGTTTTCCGGTCACTTCCAGAACGACGGTCCTCGTCCAGAAGGATCCTTACGGAACGACCCTGGCATGAATAAATCGTCCCCTTCTTGCCTGCTACCCCTTTTTCATCCGGTCGATTTTAATTTCGCGCCTTTAGTCTCGGGTGTCTTTTCAATGAACCTCCTGATCGATCTCGGAATAAACGATCACTGGAGTTTTGATAGAAAATACTAGTGGAACCAATTCAATGACATATTAATTAATATCGAAACCTGTTCATTCTCGAGCATCCTGTTACGGTGGCAAATATTTTTTTTCCGTGAAGAAAGTAATTTATAGTTATTGAGAATAGAATATAATTCTTCCACTCTGCGATTTTCTCTTGCCTGACGTAGGCTCCAGCCCGAGCCATAAAGTCATGGCTTGAACTGGTAACAAGATTTCACTAAGTTCTCTCTGCTCTCTCACTAAGTACTTTTCTCTGCAAATCGATCGAGTTCAATCTCCATTCGATAATTAAAGATACTCAATAAAAGTCGGTTGAAAAATAGTAGAAAAGCGTGATAACAGCAGGATTTCCACCGGGAGCGGTAGAAAGATTTAATTCCTGGTTGCTCGAGACCTTTTAACAGCTGCTACCGCCGCGACCTTCTCGTTTCTTACACCGGCTGCGTTCCCTGGTAATATCCGTAAGTGCATCCCGCGATTTTCTTGCGCGTGCACTTCTTACCAATGTCTCCGGCGTAGAAAGGAAAAAGAGAGGGAAATGTGGTACGTTTCCGAGGTAGCCGTGACGCAGCGTTAACAAGCAATGACTGCAACGACGCCATCGTCGACCGAGACCGACCAAGACGAGACGTATAACGGTGGAGATGCAACGGCAAGTAGACCGAGCTAGGCCAGACGACGGCCACTCTACATAATTGCTAGCTATTGTATGGTGTATGCGCACCCCCATCCCTCCTGCTACCACTCGTTTCAAACCTCCAAGCGCTACTGCTCTCTCTCTCGAGCCAACGTATATTTTTTTCACCACAGCTTACGACACCCTCCGTGAACTCTGGTAACCGGAATTGTTCAGCGGATGTCGAGGAACGAATGTTTCGTGACCCAGACAGCAAGGTGGTAGACGGGTTAAATTCGAAGGTGAAAGGAAGGTGGTGCATTTTGTCCCGGGTCTCCTATTTATTTCCATCCCGGTTCTGTTTCAAAATTAAACTTCTTTTGTTCCGCGAAAGGAGAGATCGTTATAAGAATTGGCAAGAAAATTTCATAGAACTGGTAGACGTCGTTTCGTCGACCCGGTAATCGGATTTCCGTCGAATAAACGGCCGCCATCGGAAACGGGAATGGAAAGGGATTCGGTAACCGCTTGTTTGTCATACGAAATAACCGGGGCTTGTTTGTCAGGCATCGTGTACAAGACGAAACTGTGACGATGCCGGAGGTGGTTGCTGGGTTGGGCACAGGCGTCACGGAGGGAAGACGTAGAAGGAGGATGGTTAAAGTTGGTCGAGAAACGAGGTGGATAGACGGAGGATGAGAGAAAAGCGAAGTGCTCATGCAATGCAGATCGTTAAAGCATCCCCCCGTCGAGCTGGTGACCCGAATGTGGCTTACGGAGACAAAGTGCGGACCAGAAAGGTGGAGGGAAATAGGGGTAAAAGGAAAAGGAAACGGATCGGAATAGTAGAGAGTAGCCTGTCCGTTTCATTCTACTTTTTCTTCCTTGCGATTCTCTCTTTCCGGTTTACATCGTCTCGAATCTGTGCCAGTGCAGACGGAACGCAAGTAAAACTATGTTTCTCACCTTTTCTCTTCGCAACAACTGGTAGTTAACAGTCGTAGAATTTCTCTTCCGGTCGGAGTTTCCGAATTTCAAGACCAGTCTGCTTACTCAGAAGGCAGATTTAGACCGCGAAAGGTTAATGCCACCGATATCGCCGGGTCGGATGCGTTTTTCCGCCTCCATTCAGCCTCCGTTCAAACGAATCGACGCGTCTACGCGAATTGGAGGCGTTTCAAACACCTCCGTCTAGACGTAGCCTCAATTACGAAATAGTTACCGCAGAAAGGTGCGGAAAAGCTTGCCAATAGCTTCTCTCCGGGAAACGGTGAAAAATATAGGTTAGATTAGGCGGAAGAGGCATCGCTAGGAAACTCGAAGGGTGCCGGTTAAATAAAAGCTATGCGGAATCTCCATTCTGCCTTCATCCCCATTTTCACCTATTTCTACTCGGTTACTGCAACACAGAGGTATTTTCCGTTTGGCGTAGAGGAATTTTCTTTTAGATTTTAGAGCTCGCGCCGCAGTTTCTCTTCTCGTTTGGGGATAAGGAAGACAAACGGGAGGAAGAGAGACTATCTGTGGCTAGTTTCCTGCTATCGCTATCCTAGAGCGAACATTTTTAAAACTTTAGACACGAGTATTCAATATTTACAAGTAAATAAATAGCACAGAAATCGAACAATGATCGTGAAATCGTTTCTAAATCCCTTCTGATCTCATCGCGATGATAACATCTACGATTGGAACGATTCCCAGGGGCAATAATTCAAGTTCAGATATCGTGACTCGTTACATCCACTTACAATTTGTCGCGCGGAACGATTACCCGCCGCGTCGAGTCGCGTCGCGTCGCGGTGCGCCGATTCCGTGGCTGGCGAAGCGGAGAGAAGGAAGATCCGTTCTCGGGACGGTAACGGCTGGTCCCGTTCGCGTGGCCGTTTAAAACAACGACGTGGAATTATCGCGAATTGGCCTGGAACGGCTGCGACGACGTCGGTGCATCGAGCCGAGCAGGAAATAGCGATCGTGGCGGGAGGGAAAGAGCGTGTATCACGGCGATGGAACGAGTACGAGAGAACGCCGAGATGGGAGAACACGGCTCTGATTAGCATACAAACTACGCGTGCACGTGTTGGTTCTCCGCGTTTGCTCGGCACACGAACCACACTCGCGACTAACCGCGTCTGTGTACGCGTGCATTCTCCACCAGCTCGTACACGCTCGTACGTGGTGTCCAAGATCGTGATTAAAAGCTACGCGAGATTTCGATCGAGCTAAACGTACGGTGACCCACTGTTCGTCCAGGATCGCGACAATTTTTCATCCCCGTCCGTTGTTCAGCGCCGAGAATGAATCATAAAGAAAATTATGCTTTCTTGAATCGATAAATTTCCCGAACAACAGTTGCCTCGATCGTCGAGCGAAGCTTTCGAGAGCCGTGAAACAGCCACGATTTTATTACACGTCAGTGTATGAGCTTATTGTCGCTCGTTGGGGAATCGAATAACGAGGAAAACGACAGAACGCGACGTTTAACTGCCACGGAACGAACGGCCCGAGGCGAGAGTAGAGAAAGAAGCGTGGAACGAAGAAACAGGCAGAAGAGAGATGCCACCCACAAAGTCCGACAACTCGGAGCAGAGTGTTGCGGACCGGTAACACTTGAGATACCACGCTTATGGGCCACGATAATGGCCGGCTATTACGATAAACCGAAAAAACTGGCTACAACAGAGACTCGGTTGTGCAAACAGACGGTCCTTTCGTGCACCATGGAAACAAATTATCCACGCGGACAACTCGGTTTGATCCGACGAGTGAAGCGCGTTTACTAAAAAAGAACCTGTGCATACAAGCGAGAAAACTCGTTCGTTTCTTTCCCTTTCCGACGATGTTTCGCGGCAATAAAGTACCGAACATTTCACAGCTCGCGAATACAAGAAGCAGCGACGCCCGAGATATTACCAGGAACGAACGATGATGACCACCTATTACGATAACCGGAGGAAAAGAGGGTCAAAACAGGGCTGGCATTGTCGCGACGAGTGGACCTTCGAGAGCTTTGTCCGGATAAAAATACGACCAGCCTGGTGGATCCTGAATGCAGCCCTCTGTGCGATCCAAAATCGTCTTGGCCCGCTGCCGATCCCCCGGACAAAGTTCATCGATCGTTGCTCGTCCACTACTTTTTTTTCGCCAGCTATGCACACGAAATTAGTTGTCTCTCGCTAACCTTCGAACGCTCTTTCTATCCCGTCGTATTTAATTTTTTTTTCTTTTTTTAATGCGACTCGGGTGTTGGAATAAAACGAACGGCGGTACCACGTAAATCTTCGGCTCGCTTTACCGCTGCGAATGCATATTTCTTCCCCGTACGAGGCACGATCTAGCCGCCTGCTTACGCGGGCACAAAAGAGAGAGAGCCGGTGCAACCACCGTGTCCGGGAGATTATCAGTACGCCACTGTTCCGTCGTTGGCGGCGCGTAACACAGACTCGACGCACGCCCACTTACTCAATGGCCTATTTTAGGATGGTTTAGGAGCAACTGAACGAGCCTCTTCCTTCTTTACATCATTGTCCCTTCCGCAGAGGCCATTACTGTTATTCTACGATAGCCTTATTCAAGGATTTTTATTCGTTGAAAAATATATAACCTTGATTTTAATTTACTGAAATGCGAATGACCCTTACTTCTATCTGACCCCCTTTACACCCGTTCTTTTCCTTTCTTATCCTCTGCACCGTGGGAGAGCCTCCTCCTGGATGGCCACTCGAACCCTTGAAATACGGTTACAACCCGCACGACCTCGAACCTCCAACACCTTACGACGTCCGATCCGAATGAAACCTAGACTTTATTGCCGCGCGGACACTAGTGTCGCGACAACCCTGAAGAACAATTTTAAACGAGAACGTCTGCCTACCCTTCTCGTACTTTCCCGGATGCGGATTGATTCTATCGCGATCGTGCGAAGATTTATACGAGAATTAGGATTGTACTTACTTCCAGAAGACGACGGACACGATCGCTGCCATCAGCAGCAATACCACCGCACAGGTGATAATCAGGGCGGTGCTCTGCAACGATGGATTCGTGTGGTACGACGCATCGATCATCTGGAAACAAAAGAAATATATTTTAATAACTGCAAGAATTTTTCTATATTCCGATCCACCTGTCAACGGGTCCCATCGTTCGTAACATTATGAAATTTTTCAAATATTCACATTCCATGATTCTTTTCTTCGCTGGCCATTCGGCGTACATCGATAAACCGGGTACGGAAGAGGAATAGAAGCGCCGTTCTCCACGGAATATTGTGCTACGTGTCGTTTGGCCCGCGTCCAAGGGAAGCAGCATTTATCAAAGGTTTCTCCTTCGCGACTATCCTCGCCCCGATACGATCGCAGTTTCCCTCCGTACGTTCGCGTATAAGTCGTTCTTTGTCGAGCATCATCCCTCGCTTTTCCCGACGCACTTACCATCGAGCGGACTCTTCTCGCGGTGGCTCATCGCTCATCATTACAGGGATATTAATGGCGTCGGCTAATGGATTCAGCCGAGAGCTTAGCAGTCAGAATTCCCTTCTTCCTCGCCCGGTTATTCAGCGCGCGGTAGAATTTCCGAAATAAAGCCGACCGCGATGATGATGCATCGTTCTCAGCCGCGATTTTCCTCCGAAGATTTCTCGATCGTCTAGGTACCTTGACGAGCTTGCTAGCGAATTAGCGCGGCTCGGGAAGAAGAGCAAGAACGAGAAGAGATACGTGGAACATTCCCTTCTATCGCGGTTGAACCAGCACCGAGTCCCTTTTATCGGAAACCGACGCGACCCCGCAGGGAGACGACGTCCTGTTCGGTAAAACCGCGAGACTGTGGCCAACCGTCGGACAGAACGAAGGACCCGAGGTCTCCGTTCCTAGAAAACGAGAAATTTACGGAGCACGGATGAAAAGAGCGATCCTTCGGTTCCCACGGTGTTTTTGAAATTTATTCGAAAACGCTATTAACTTTTGTTAATTAGAAAATATAATCACGCAGCTGCATCATTAACGCGTATATAAGGGCTCTGTATCGTGACTAATTTTTGTAAGAAATTGAGAACGAGATGAGATCAGCGAGGTAAAGTTCACCCTCGACATTGCCGTTGCTAACCCTCGATGTTACGATTCCGCGAGGGAATTTACGTTGGTTATTGCGCGCGTAGGAGGCCACACGCGTTCGATTATCCTCTAGGATTCCATTAATTGGATCCGGAGTCAGGTTACAGGTTTCTGTGTCCGACGGTGCGCGATGTTGAATCAGAACGGTCGTAAGTAGCACATGCAACGGCTGGAAACGTATGGTTTCTCCGTTTGAGAATACAGTGGCAGTACTCGACCGAAATCATGCTTCATAGACGTAACAACTATGGATGGGTCTGCTTTGTTCGATTCTTAGGAAGCTCTTCTGATTATCTGCCGGGTTTTGATTCAGCTAATTGGAGGACAGTGGCTTGGACGTTGGTTTCTATCCATCCTATCTGTTCTTTGCGTGTCTCAGGAAAAGACAAAGGGTGAATTTTGTTATTTATTCAGATGTTAATTTTTACAGGTTGATTTTTCATTACACGAAGCTTTTGTTGTGGGGAAAAAAGGGATTTTGAAAATTTCGCTGAAGCACGCACTTTACTAACTACACATAGATCATCGATGATACGCGAGGACGCGAAATCGCGATCCTCGGACGCGCGTCCGTCAATGCAAATTACGCACTCGATCACGGCCCGGTCTCTCGATCCGATTTCCGGCAACTTTGAAGCGCTCTCGCGCCACCACCGACGGATAACGCGTTACGCGTCGGTGGTACACCTGAAATCGGGAAGCTGTACATCAATTAAACGGATGCTGCTCTGTATAGTCGTACGATCGATCGATCGATCCGAGGATTCCTCCTGCCGCGGTCGCGTGTATAGCAAACAGGTCAACGATATCGTCGCGATATTGTTTATGGATCGATGGCCAGCTTTCTGTTCGTTGACCGCTATCGTGCTCCAACTGTCCGGACCGATATTCGCGTTATTCGTTTCACAAAACTCCTCGTAAAAAACGAAACGTTTTCGACCAACGGAAGGCTGAAAAATCGTTCAGAAACACCGCGACGAGATTGGACCGTGGAATAACACGATCCGAGCGAGACGCGATATTACGAGAAATGTTATATATCGTTTAATCGATGCCTGTGTCCCGGTATGATTTTACATAGGTAAAAACATTTGTAAGCTCGTTAATCCGCCATCAACGTCGATAAATACAGCGTTTGTTTGTCTCATCTTTCCCGAGAGCCATTGAGAGATCGGTAACTCGGTCCATTGTGTCTCAGAGCCAAGTACATTGCGTGCAATTCACAGATACGTATGTATTTTCATTGAAGCAATGTATCACATGCAGTTTCTAATTGCCCGCTTAACCCTCGTTGTCTGTACGAGTATTTCAAACGTTTGCAGACAGACAGCAACGCAATTAAGCGTAGACCTTTTCATTTGCACCGGTGAAAATTACCTCGGCAATTCTTGGCAGTAGGCGATACGAGTACGAGGCGCTTTATGACTACACCCGGTTTACGATCTTGTCCTCGCTCTCGGAAAAGTAAAAAAACCTCTTGCTCGTTATTACCCGGTACGGTTAATTTGCATAGCGACACACACGGATAGCTCTTCATATTTCTCGATCGATATTTCGTTTTTCCCACGATGGCAAACTCGTTCGGTCGTTTCACGAGACACGAGAAGCTACCTAATGGTTTCATCGAACCTGACATGGATCCCGCGATGGACATTCGCTAAAATTCCAGGACAGTAGAATTAAAACGAGCACAGACTGTTACGGAGCTGGTGTATCGCAGGTAGAAGAGGAATAATATCAGATCGTTCGGCGACGCAAAGGCGCCTTGCTAGCTTTCGTTTCCATCGAGTTTCGGGCCGTAACACACGGCCGCGGAGCAGACACAAACGGTTTCGTGCCATCTTGATTCCGTGGCATCGTCTCTCGATTAATTAGCGTGCCGTGGTTAATGAAGCCCGGACTCCGAGCGACGGAGCAAAGGGCCGAAAGGAGTTCGAGGGTTCGCGAGGGCCACAAAGGGCGGAGAGAAAGAGAAGTATCTCGACCCGGTGCGGTGAACGGAATCGATATCGCGTAATGCGATCTATCTGGACGAGTACATTGGATATTATGTTCACCGAATTGTTTGCGAGAGGATAGGTGATACGAAAAGTACCTGTTTCCATGTCGAATGTAAATACAACTGTTCATGAATCGCGTGTATATTTTAATGTCCCATCGCGTGACGTATTCTCTCGCCGCGCCGCTTAAAACGGTCGCTACTTTTCCAAAAAGCTTCTGCTCATTTATCATTCGAGTGATTCAGCAACGGAACACACCGGGGCCAGTCGAAAATTCACTTGATTCCCCCTCCGTGGTTATTAATGGATCCGCGTCGACCCTATAATTTCGCGTTCGACAACGAAACCACCCCCGCGATTTCAGCTTCGCGACTAAATATTGCTATGTATTCCGTACAGGTCGGAGTCGCACGCGAATCTATGAATTTCTGTCTGCTGAGGAAGAAAAATCGATGATTTACCAGCGTCCTGAAACTGATCGATAGTACCTAATGGAATTTCAAGAGATTCTTAGCATCCCTTATTCTTTCGATGCTGAAAAACTGTTGAGAAACGTCTCGCAGCCGATGCTCCCTGTAAATTAGTTGCCGCGGCGCGGAGGGTGGAACGAGAAGGAAACGCAGTCGGAACAATAGAAACGCGGTCGTGCCGACGGATAAAAGGGAACGATCGATGTCGAACGGTGATTGGAAAGCAATAAAAAGAAGAAGAAGAAGAAGAAGAGGTGGAATGGAAAAATAACGAAGAAATATTTGCTCGATAAACAGTCGGAGCCGGTTGATTCGAAACAACAGATCGGCTCTCTGTGCAGGACAACGAGGGAACAAAGACGATCAGAAAGGATTCTCCAGTCTTCCGGTAAGTGTCTCGAATTTCTGAAAAGTAAATCTCGACGGTGTGAAACCCTTTAAAATGCTACGATTCCGTGTCGACGAGCTGATCAAAGGGAAAAATAGAGAAAGAAAGGAATCGTGTGGGATTCGGGGAACGAGGGTGCGTTGGACAGAATCGTTGCTCTAACGAGACGATTTTCAATAGGGACAATTTCAGCCAGGTACAAACTGCGTTCTCGCAGGGTAAACGTGCCGATCGTGATCCAACGAGTACAAGGTACTACATACACGGGGATCGGACAGCAACGAGACCAGGTCGACGATCGGTGCTGGCTTTCGTTCCGGTTTGCCAACGATTCGTTACGACTCGAACACGTAAACTCTTGGCAGCAGTGTGATGGCGTAACGCATGCAAATTTCTGAACAAATGCGTAATTAGCGTGTCCCAGCCGAGCGGAGACGTGTCCCGTTGCGGGCTGCCGACAGGGACGAGAGAAGAGGAAGCAACCGCGACGGTGTATACGCAGAGCTCGCAGAGTTGTTAAATCAACGAGACGATTTTCGATCGACTGTTACTCTCGTCTCTCGCTATTGTTACGAACGTGCCGGTCATGCTAATGTGTCCCCGGCAAATCGAATGTTTTACGGGCTCGTGAATGTTCATACGAGCTGGAAAAGGGGATCCAACCCTCGTCCCAAGTGTATTTACCAGGGGGTCTCCAAAGGTTTTACGAATTGTATAAAAAAAAAAATACCATACAAGTATTTTTGATAAGACAGGATATTTATAGTTCATCCAACGAGACGAGAAAGTAAATGTGTACTTACAAATTCACGTCCTCGAAACAGGAGCGACTCACAGTATACGGATCTCGAAACAACTGTGGGTCGATTTTGAAAAATTTAAGGACAAGTGATTGTACTTTGAGGGGTTGCGAATTCGTCAAAGGTCGGGGAAAGATTAACAGATAATTCTATGAATTGCAATGAAAAAATAAGATTATTTGCTTCCAATAAAATCGAATTTTCCTTCATGCTTCGCAAACTTGAAGGGTAGCTCTGAACTAGAGGGAAGACGAAGGTCGAGAAGCAAAAGTGGAGTAGCTTCTCCAGTCGGTCG